GGTTTGTCTCTGCTTGAACAACAGGCTTGGACAAGGACTCCATGAGGGTGGAGGATAAAATAGCGAAGCATTGGTGTGTGTTAGAATCTAGTGCTCAGTGGCCCCTGAAGTGTAGAAAATGGCTCTTGCTCAGTGGTGCAGGTACAGAAAGGTCATACACTCCTTCTGAAACTATTCCAAACAATCCAAAAAGAGGGAATCCTTCCCAAATCATTTTATGAGACCAACATCATCCTGATACCAAAACCCAGCAGAGACTCAACAAGAAAAGAAAACTTCAGGCCAATATCCATGATGAACATAGATGCAAAAATCTTCAATAAAATACTGGCAAATCAATTGTAACAGCACATCAAAAAGCTTATCCATCATGATCAAGTAGGCATCATCCCGGGGATGCAAGGCTGGTTCAACATACACAAGTCACATAAACAGAACCAAATGTAATTCACCACATAAAGAGAACCAAAGACAAAACCACATGATTATCTCAATAGATGCAGAGAAGGCCTTTGACAAAATTCAACAGCCCCTTATGCTAAAAACTCTCAATAAACTACATATTGACAGAATGTATCTCAAAATAATAAAAGCTATTTATGACAAACTCACAGCCAATTATCATACTAAATGGGCAAAAACTGGAAGCGTTCCCTTTAAAATATGGCACTAGACAAGGATGCCCTCTCTGACCAATCCTATTCAATCTAGTATTGGAAGTTCTAGCCAGAGCAATCAGGCAAGAAAAAGAAATAAAAGGTATTCAATTAGGAAAGGAGGAAGTCAAATTGTCTCTATTTGCAGACAACATGATTGTATATTTAGAAGACCACATCGTCTCAGCCCCAAATCTCCTGAAACTGATAAGCAACTTCAGCAAAGTCTCAGGATACAAAATCAGTGTTCAAAAATCACAAGCATTCCTATACACCAATAACAGACTTAAAGAGAGCCAAATCAAGAATGAACTGCCATTCACAACTGCTACAAAGAGAATAAAGTACCTAGGAATACAACTAACAAGGAACGTAAAGGACCTCTTCAAGGAGAACTACAAACCACTGCTCAACGAAATAAGAGAGGATACAAACAGATGGAGGAACATTTCATGTTCATGGTTAGGAAGAATTAATATCGTGAAAATGGCCATACTGCCCAAATTAATGTACAGATTCAACGCTATTCCTATCAAGCTACCAATGACCTTCTTCACAGAACTCGAAAAAAACACCTTAAACTTCACATGGAACCAAAAGAGAGCCTGCATAGCCAAGTCAATTCTAAGAAAAAAGAACAAAGCTGGAGGCATCACACTACCTGACTTCAAACTATACTACAAGCCTACAGTAATCAAAACAGCATGGTACTGGTACCAAAACAGAGCTATAGACCAATGGAACAGAATAGAGGCATTGGAGGCAATGCCACACATCTACAACCATCTGATCTTTGACAAACCTCACAAAAAACAAGCAATGGGGAAAGGATTCCCTGTTTAATAAATGGTGTGGGGAAAACTGGCTAGCCATGTGCAGAAAGCAGAAACTGGACCCCTTCCAGACACCTTACACTAAAATTAACTCCAGATGGATTAAAGACTTAAACATAAGACCTAACACCATAAAACCCCTAGAAGAAAATCTAGGCAAAACCATTCAGGACATAACACACAGGCAAGGACTCCGTGACAAAAACACCAAAAGCATTGGCAACAAAAGCCAAAATAGACAAATAGGACCTAACTAAACTCGAGGGCTTCCACACCGCAGAAGAAACAATCATTAGAGTGAATTGGCAACCAACAGAATGGGGAAACATTTTTGCAATCTACCCATCTGACAAAGGGCTAATATCCAGAATCTACAAAGAACCAAAACAGATTTACAAGAAAAAAACAAACAAGCCCATTCAAAAGTGGGCAAAGAATATGAACAGACACTTTACAAAAGAAGACATACATGAGGCCAACAAACATATGAAAAAATGCTCATCATCACTGGTCATTAGAGAAATGCAAGTCAAAACTACATTGAGATACCATCTCATGTCAGTTGGAATGGCGATCATTAAAAAATCTAGAGACAACAGATGCTGGAGAGGATGTGGAGAAATAGGAACAATTTTACACTGTTGGTGGGAGTGTAAATTACTTCAACCATTGTAAAGGCAGTGTGGCGATTCCTCAAGGACCTAGAAATAGAAATTCCATTACTGGGTATATATCCAAAGGATTATACATTTTTCTGTTATAAAGACACATGCACACGTATGTTCATTGTGACATTGCTTACAATAGCAAAGACCTGGAACCAACTCAAATGCCCATTGATGATAGACTGGACAGGGAAAATGTGGCACATATATACACCATTGAATGCTATGCAGCCGTAAAAAAACGATGAGTTTGTTTCCTTTGTGGGGACATGGATGAATCTGGAAACCATCATTCTCAGCAAACTGACACAAGAACAGAAAATCAGCCACCACATGTTCTCAGTCATAGGCAGGTGTTGAACAATGAGAACACATGGACACAGGGAGGGGAGCACTACACACTGGGGTCTGTGGGGGGAACTAGGGGAGGGACAGTGGGGGATGGGGAGTTGGGGAGGGATAACATGGGGAGAAATGCCAGATATAGGTGATGGGGAGGAATGCAGCAAACCACATTCCCATGTATGCACCTATGCAACAATCCTGCATGTTCTTCACATGTACCCCAAAACCTAAAATGCAATAAAATATATATATTTTTAAAAAAGAAAAAAGAAAAAAGAACATGTTTTACCATTCATTCATTTTCTTTTATATCATTTACAGAATTGCTAATTATTTCCTAATAGATACATTAAATGTTTATTTTTTATACTGAGACAAAAAAGATAATAATTTTGAACTGTTTGTAATACATTCTTTTATTGTGAATTTGGCATTTTTTAATTCATCCTGGCTTGTCTCTTTACTCACAGTGTCCTAGGCCAGCCTGTGCTAGTTCAACTGTCCACAGATCTCTCTCTCTCTCTTTCTGTTCTCTCTGAGTGTGTGTGTGTGTGTGTGTGTGTGTGTGTGTGTGTGTGTATTCAATGTTCAAACATTCTCATTCAAAAGTCCAAGCCATGTGGCATCATGGGACAGTGCTATCAAACATGAAGAAAAAATTTTCAAAGACGTAAAATAGAGGGCACATGGCAAATTCCAGGAAAAATAGGATGAGCCAACACTTGTACTCACATGCCAGGAGGGTAAGGGAGTGAAGGGTGCCCCTCAGAGTCTTTATATTTGCCCCCAAAGGACCATCTTGTTCAGTGATTGAACTGGAGGCAGATCCAGGGCATGAAGAATATGCCTCCAGAATTGAACTGCCTGAGTCCTCAATTTTGGGGCTGATAGTGTCTCTTCCTAAATGTCCTCTTACTCCCAAACATGTGTCAGATCACACTTTTTCATCAAATGTGAAGTAAGTAAGGATCACCCTTCAGGGAGGACTCTGCCTGCTCACGTATGTGAGAGCCAGTGGAGTATTTTCCTTTCAGGACCAGTCCCACAGCGCCCCCTGCTGGCCTCAGGTCCCAGGTCCTCCAGCCGCTCTGACACTGCCCAGCTCTCCTGGAGGGGCATCCTGACTATTGCAGATGGATCTTTCTGATGCCACCACTCAGGACAGTAGAATGGTTGTTGTTCTCCGACGGATTTGAGCTGAGACATCATTTGCCTCTTGGTCACTCTTGATCTCTGAGCTGCCCAATACATACAGTATTGTGCCATCCTTATTGTTACCAGATATTTCATTATAACTGGGCATTCAAGATTTTTCTTCCAGGTTCTTGGGGTCATTATCAATCCACCACCATCTAAAACTAAGTTTAAGGCTTAAAATTTCCCCAGACTACTCCGTTAGTTCTAACCTGTTAAAAATTCTACGTGTGTCTCTTCCAGTAGTTGCTCTTAGTATTATCAGTTATTGTTGGTGTGAGGGTTTACTGCTAGATTCCCCCGACTGTCAGGGTGCAGGCTCTGGAATTTGGTGTCTTTTTTGCTAGGAGAATATGATGTTGTCCAGAAAAATTGTTTTCTGCTCTTGCTTCCCACTCTGGGTTTCTCTTTGTCCTTCATTGTTAGCCTGGCACTCGATATGTTCTTGTGACTCTCTGACATCATAAAGATTTTTGAGTCTGTTTTTAAATTGCTGTGGGCATGGGGCTTGATATAAATATACTATAGCTATAAACAGACCCTCCTCTTTAGAGGTTTTTCTTCCACTCCTGGGTAAGGGGTCCCGGTGGCCTGTCCCCCCTGCCACACTCACACATGCTGATCCCTGATCAAGGTTGTCTGGTAAATGTTTCATAACTGACAGTGAAGAGTAACAGGATGGTTGGGAAATGTTCATGAATATTGAGATCACCTGTGATAATGTAGGTTGGAACCATAAGCTCTAGGCCCAAAGAACTGAGGTTTATCCAGGGCCATCGCAAACAAACAATTGATTTTTAAAAACATACAGAGCAAGAATAACCAGGATTTGAGAGATTAAAGAGGGGAAATGGAGCATGTGTCGTTCTGAGAACTGACTCCCGAGAACCATGGGGAGCTTCCATGCTATACCTAAGACTTCAGAACATCCTTGAGGGTGTAATCTGAGAAGAAAGACAGAACCCATCTCTCCCACAGTTTTGCTGCTCAAGAAATAACAAGAACAGCTGCACCAAGAGGAGGGGACACCTGTGGGCCAGGTAGAAGACACCTGGATCTCTGGGTCACACAGGCTGGATTCTTCTTTCTTCTTGTCCCCACCTTGTATCGGCAGCTTCTTTGTCTTCAAAAAACAAATTAAATTTGTTTGCATTGGGAGACCAGTAAGAAAAGGAGTGATTTTCACCGAACTTGTGCTCTGCTTTCAGTAGCACAAGTGACAGCGGAAGCCCTAGCATGAACTGGTGTTGGTCACAGGGATAGGGGAGGGATGGGGCGGTCAGGAGGAGTGGGGGCAGATCTTTCTCTCACTTCTCCATGGAATTGAAGCCCTTGGTGACATAAAGTCTGGGCACAGCTGTGTGACAGTGATAATCAGCCTCATCCTCAGGCTGGAGCCCAGAGCTGGTCAAGGAGGCTGTGTGGAGTAGAAGAATCAGGCTGGGACCCCTGAAGGTCACAAACTTAGGAGCGCTGTCTGGGAGGGAGGTAGCCATTTCCATGGGATCACCCAGTGTTTCTGCTGCTCCCCGTGCAGGAAAAGCTGGCCTTGTGATCTGGACGCTGGTTTCAGCGCATCTGGACAATGGGACCGTATTTCAGTGTCGTCAGGTCGTGTTGTTTTGTTTTGCATTTTCTGAGACTCCAGAAACCACAAATGGAAAATTGGGAGGAGCCTTTTACACCTCGAATGTACTTACAAAGACAGTTTGTGTCTAGGTGAGTTATTTTAAAATTTGAACATTTTCACAGAACTAGAGCAAGAAAGGGTGAGGTTTTTGTCCCACTTCCCCATCTGTGTGTGTCACTGTGGGAAGCACTGCTGTGCCAGATCATACAGTAATAGTCAGCCTCGTCTTCAGACTGGAGCCCAGAGATGAGTAAGAGCCCTGCATTGGCAGAGGCGTCTTTGGATCCAGAGAAGCGGCTGGGGACTCCAGAGCCCTGGTGCTTATCTGAGTCTGAGTTGTAGTACAGGAGATACCTGGGAGCAGCTCTCTGACTTCTGCTGGTACCAGTATATATCCTTGCTACCAACACTTATGTCACTCCTAAGTGTGCAGGTGAGTCTGGCTGAAGCTCCAGGAGATCCAGAGAGAAAGGATGGCTGAGTCAGCACAGGCTGGGAGAGAGAACCTGGAAATGCAGACACTCGTGAGAGAAAGGCAGGGACCAGGGTAAAGCTTCTCAGAGACTTTGCTAGGAGGGCCAGAGTCAGGCTGGGTGGTTGCCCCTGGTCTCTGAGGTCTGTTCCTACCTGTGCAGTGAGAGATGATCAGGAGGAGAAGAGGAGTCCAGGCCATGGTGGACACAGCCCATGCACCCGCAGTGGGACTGGGCTGCCCCAGGCCTCCTTTTCTGGCCACCCTCTGCAGAGGAGGAGCTGCTCATGCAAACGTGTTTCCATCCATTGGCTGCTCAGCCCCTCCCTGAGCCCTGTGGCTGGAGCTCAGCTCACACTGCTGTCTGAAGAGGAGGCAGATTTGCATTCCTTCTTGTGAGGGCCCAGGGAGGAAGCATCTGTTGAGACCATACGAAGGCCAGAGAACTCTGCCAGGCCAGAGAAGACATGGCTGCTGAGTCCTCATCAGTGAGCACGGTGCCTTAGCTCCAAGGCCTGGACTTCTTTGAGTGAATGGTTCTTACTGAGCATCTGAGTATGAACCACAAGGCAGCCTCACAGCATCACTGCTGGTTGGAGGACACAAAACTCTGTGGTCCAGCTGGTCTCTGCAGCTCACCCGTCACTATTCAGAGATCCATGGTCTGATTCCTGGACACTGACTCCGTCATGCTATGCATGATTACTGTGATCTCCCACTTACAGAAGAAGTCCTGGTCCACAGGATGTGCATATAAGTAAACATATAAATTTTAAAGGTGTCAGCATCCACACAGTACGTTCTAGAAAAATCTAATTGCCCATGATGCCATCAGTGTGGGCATCCCAGTAAAAGGGTCAGCTGAGGAGCTAGGTTGAAGGACAGATAAAGGCTTTCCAGGAGAACAGTAAAAAATAAAAATTTTCAAAAAAAAATGTGATATGTTAAAAGCAACAATTCAGCAAAAATTATATATACAATGATTTCACGTATTTTTACAGAGATTTGACTCAATTTAATGCTATAGGAAAATTAATAGATTTGGCAGACTTACTTTAACGGTGAACAGTATGACATATTTTTCTGCTTAATTAAATTAACCATTATATCCTAAGTAAAATGTCATTTTCTGCAAAGTTGTTTCATATTTTCTGGTCAAGACTTTGTTCTAGATATTATACAATTTGTTTGTATTGTAATATCTCCACGTGTATTTTCCACGGGAATCAGACCATGGATGCGTGAACAGTGATTGGGAGCTGCAGCTGCAGAGAACAGCTGGGCTCTGCAGACTTTGGGCCAAGGACAGGTGTGTGTAATATACACATTTTTATATCTATATCCTTCTCTTGCTCAACAAATGCAAAGGCAAATGTTCTTATGTAATATTTTCTATTGAATGAACTTGGAATCTTGAACACAAAATGTCCAGAATTCAAAACAAAAAATTATTACCTTGACCTCATATCTACAACTCTTTTCTGATATTCCAATGTAGGTGAACTCACATATGATTTAACAAACATATATGCAGTTGGTCTTCAGTTCAAGGCAGTGTTTTGGGCTCTGTAGATACAGCAACGACAAGAAAGAAAACAAAAACTATAGCAATGAACAATCCTTGTTCTCAGGTAGCTTGGATATCAGCAGTGGAAACACCGCAAATAAAGCCACCAGCTGTAATAAAATGTCTTCATGTGGCTGACCCCACCCTGACAAGTTAGTCACCCTGAGGATTTGAAGCCCGTGACTGACAGCTGAGAGACATTCATTTCTCTAATTCTGAAGAATTCATTGAATTGTTCTGAAGATGACGATGTTTTTTGACAATGTATGCTGTAAATAACCCTGTGTCAACAGGAGGCAGTCAGTCTCCTTGGACTAATGAATGGCTGGAATCTTACTGAAGGGCAGAAATAAAAAAAATATTCCCATTCTCCAGAAGAATTCCTAAGGAGAACCAGAAAACTGAGTATGAGGAAGAAACTTAGTCATAGATAACCTCCCTCCTGCTCTGTTTGTGATGGAAAAGAGCAGCATCTATTTAAAGTGTACAATTCTATGGTTTTAAAAATGTATTCACAGGGGGACCATCCAAGATGGCCGAATAGGAACAGCTCTGGAGTGCAGCGCCCAGCGAAAATGCAGAGGGTGAGTGATCACTGCATTTCCAAAGGAATTTTTACTGCCCACAGACCAGGAGATTCCCGGGTAGGAAAGCACCAAGAATCTCCAGCATGGCTGTTTCAGCAGGTGCAGTGGGTCTCCACACAAAAACTCACACAAATCCGGGTGCCATTTCAACCGGCGACTGGAAAACCTGGGAGACAGAGTCACCCGTTCAACTGAAAAAAAGCGGGCTGAAACAGGGAGCCAGGTAATCTGGCTTGGCCAGTCCCACCCTCACAAAGACCAGCAATGGGAAATGCTCTGGATTGAGAGATTCACAGCAAGCACAGCTGGACCCAGGACGGTCAAACTCTGGGGGGGTAATGGCATCCACCACTACAGAGGCACCCATAACCCTGCTCCAGAGGACCCAAAGAGAAGGCAGAGCTGCCTCAAATCTTTCTATGTAATAATCCATTTTATGTGCCAAATTAGGTAGACCACAGAACCCCGTCATGTACTCACATATAATTCTAGATGTGTCCATGAACATATATTTGAAGATGGGATTCACATGTAAAGCAGTTGACTTTGGTTAGTGTTCATCTGTTTTTTGCTTGTTTCGTTCGTTAGTTTGATTGATTTTTGTTTCTGTTTTTGTTTTGAGACAGGCTGGAGTATAGTCGTGTGATCATGGCTCACTGCAGCCTCAACCTCCTAGGCTCAAAGAATCCACCCACCTCAGCTTCCTGAGTATCTGGGACTACAGTGTACAGCACCACATGAGGCCAATTATTTTATTTTATTTTTCATAGAGAGTGGGTTTTACCATGTTGCCCAAGCTGGTCTCAAAATTTTTTTTTTTTTGAGACGGAGTTTCACTCTTGTTACCCATGCTGGAGTGCAATGGCGTGATCTCGGCTCACTGCAACCTCCGCCTCCTGGGTTCAAGCAATTCTCCTGCCTCAACCTCCTGAGTAGCTGGGATTACAGGCACACGCCACCATGCCCAGCTAATTATTTGTATTTTTAGTAGAGATGGGGTTTCACCATGTTCACCAGGATGGTCTTGATCTCTTGACCTCATGATCCACCTGCCTCGGCCTCCCAAAGTGCTGGGATTACAGGCTTGAGCCACTGCGCCTGGCCTGGTCTCAAATTTTTGAGCTCAAGTGATCCACCACCTCAGCCTCCCAAAATGCTGGGATTGCAGGTGTGAACCACCACACCTGGCAATGTCCATTATTTATAATGTGAGTCATGTCCTTTACCCAATCAGTTGACAGCTTTGATAGAAATAGGAAAAAGACTGAGCCATATGTTACCTCCAAGATTACAGTAAGAAACACATCACCAAGGTGGAGATGACAGAGACCTTACTTGGGTGAGAGCCTTAGCAGGTCCACGTCACCCCAGATCCACGTTATAGGTGACAGCACAGTTTTAGCCCAGCAATGCCCAACCCCAGGCCTGCCGCACTCACACTCTGCCCATCAGCCCCAGAGCAGCGAGTCATGCACTGGTCTGTGCCTCTTCCCCGACTGAAGCTGTGCTTCCTTGGCTCACTTTCTCTGGTTTCTCTGACTTTTAACCAACATCCTTCACCTCCCCTTCCTCAGATAGAAGCAGGTAACGTGGACCCAGAACAGGATTCTTTCAGGACTTAAGTTTTACTTCAGATTTTTTACACTTTTCAAACTAAGCTTGGCTTGACCCAAATCAGCATCTTTCAACCTCCACTAAAGTCTCCATTGAGATACTTTTATCTTAAACAAAGAATATCTCCTTGGAAAAACATAATTATGGTGAGAAAGTATGAACAATGGGTACAGCTAAAGAGCTAGTTCTTTGAGGAAAATCAGGTGTCATGAAAATCAGGTGTCATTTGAATAACTAACAACAGAAGTCACCCCTGAGCTAGACGGTAAAAGTCACCAGCCAAGATGACTGTACAAACCCAGAGAACAGAAGGGAGGTTTTTGTCTCATTTCTCTGTAGGTCTTGGGCACTGAGTTTGTCTTAGAGCTGTCGTGCATTACACATTACATTACAGTAATGCATTACAGTAGTCGTCAGCATTACATCACAGTCATAGCCTCGTCCTCAGGCTGGAGCCCAGAGATGTGCAGAATCCCTGCATTGGCTGAGGCATCTTTAGACCCAAAGAAGCAGCTGGGGACTCCAGAGCCCTGGTGCTTATTTGAGACTGAATAGTATTCTCCGGAGAAACTGGAGAGGGATTCCTGGCTGCTGCTGGTACCAGCATATTAAGAAGTCGCCAACACTGAAGCCACTGCTCTGGGTGCAGGTGAGTCTGGGTATGAGCCAGAGGAGGATGACACAAGCTCAGGACCTGACCCTGGATATCAAAAACTGTTTCTACCTGTGCAATAAGAGATAACAATGAGGAGGAGGGGATCCAGGCCAGGGTGGACACAGCCATCCTGAAACCTGAGTGCTGTGCTGGGCTGCCCAGGCCTTTTTTATTTTCTCCACTTGCCTGGTGGGGAGGGCCTGTTCATATAAATTTGTTTGATCCACTGGTGATCTCTGCCCCACCCTGAGGACCAGTTGAGGTCTGAGCTTGGTTCTTTAGACAGAGGGACTGAGGGGTGAGACTCAGAGTTTGTCCCATGAGAGAGACCAAAGCAGAAGCAGCTGCTGAGACCTTCCATAGACCTGTGAGTAGAAGACTCTACCCAGCTCGGGAGGACACAGCTGCCAAGTCCCCAGCAGCAAACATGGGCTTTGCTGCCCTAGCCCTGGGGAGTTTGGGGGGTGTCACAGCTGCAGACGCTGAAACAGACCTGCAGTGCCCTCTGCTGCTCACTGGCCACTCTGCAGTCTCTCAGTGGGAATCGTGTGAGTAGAATCACCTGAGAGGCAGGCTACCGTCAGACCACATAATCTTTTAGCCAAGACCCTGGCTCTGTGCCATGTTACTGATATGAATAAAAATCCTTTACTCATGAGGTTTTTCTGGATTTCCAAGAGAAGGCCATGTGGGAAATCTGATGACCATCCAATGTGAAGAGGCTGCAAGGAGGTGGGAATGCAGAGGGCTCTGGGAGCAAAGGCCTCAGCAGCTTCTTCCCCAGGGGCCACGGAAGGAGGCGACTGATAGTTGGAGATTGTAAAGGGTAAAATGTCTCACATTTCCGGGCTCCATCCGGGATGATTTTGCTGTTAGGCCACACATGTCGCTGCCTCTCCTGCCACACAGGATGTTTCTCCTGAGGCCCCAAAACCATGGATGGGTGGATCAGCACAGCCTGGGCCCTGGACCCTGGGACATGAGTGTGGGGTCTGCTTTGCATGGTGCATAGGAGCATGCTTCAGTCCACTCCAGAAATATTAGAAAAAGACCAGGACAAAGCAGCAGTGAGACAGGCATGAGGCTGTGGAAGTGAAACCATGGAGGCCGCTGTGGTGAAGCAGAGGACAGAGGACAGAACCCAGGAGCAACACCAGGTTTTGTCCACTGAGGTACAAATTTACTTCTTCAGGTCACCTTAGTCCCCTGGACCTTCATGAGGTGAAAAATCACTGAGGTCTTTGTGCTTTCTGACCTTTGGGGCCCTTTCTTCCTCCAATTTCCTTTGCTGCCCCAGCTGGAAGATGGTCTGAACACGACATTCACTAAAGAGCTCGGAGGGGCTGCGTTGTCCCCCCTGCGTGGATGTTTTCCATCGAAGGCTGAGACTTGCTTCTCTCCTCCTGAGGTAGATCAAGTGCTGAGCTCCTCTCCTCAAACGCAGTGTGGGAAGCTCACTCCCCAGCTCACTGACTGATAACCTGTCTTCTATATTTGTTTCTCTTATTTCCACCCAGGGACCCTCTTGTTAAAACAGTATATATCTCCTTTGTTTAAGGGGCAGAGGTGGCCACAGGTGCTCCTCATGCTTGAAGGAATGGGAGGAGAGTGTCCACACTGGCCTTCACTTCTGATTGAGACTGAAAAGGAGGATCACAGTAAGTGAATAAAAGAATTCCACTTTAAAGCATCAATGAGTGAAGAGGCCCGTGTCCTGTGATAAATTTATAGTCAAAGATTTTGCCCCTGTTCACTTTCAGTACAGCAGCAGTGAGGACGTGATTTTTCAAGACAAACACTTGCACACAACTTTCATATCCTTGCAGTTTTGAAATTAAAATAACAACACAGACTGGAAGTTAAACCACTTATATTTCCACCACTATTCTAGCAAGTGCAGAAGAAATCGACACCATTTTGGAGTTACGAGGTGTGTTCAATAGCACCTTTATTCTTTTATATTTTCAGAACCAATGTGAGGAATGAATGCCATGAAATCCGTGCCCTGTTGTTGCAAGATCTTTCCTAAATTCTTTGAAACAAAGGTCATCACTGTGGTCATTGAGTTTCCAAAGTGACCCACAGAGATTAACTTTGCTGCAGAATTAATTTTACCCTAGAAGTATGCTGTATTTCTCTCTTTTACCTGCTATATTTAAATCTTGAAACTAATCAAATAGCATTCTCCATTAAGCTATTACAACAGATGGGATTTTGAGGGTGCAGGCTTTAGTGTCCTATGAACAGTAGTAAATATGTCAAGTCTAAATACAAAGTAGACATCGGAAGTGAGCACTAACCTCCTGGTATGTGGGGTCTATTTGACTCTATGAACTAATGGATGAGAACATTATATCATGTCAGCCCCACCTCCACTGCTTCAGTTTCTTGTCATCTTTGCCACCATGCTCCTCCTTCCGACTAAGTATTTGATTCTCAGCCTGCCGTGAACAAGGCCAGCCCTGGGGCTGTTTCTGCTGTGGGCACTGAAGGGAGGACAAAAGTCTCCATGTGTCAGTGGCGGGGGGTGGGGTCTCTGAGCCAAGAACCTTAGGGAGGGTGGCATGTCAGCTCTGGCACAGACTGACCGAGACCCGTCATTGCAGCCTGCCTTCTGGGTGTGCTTGAACCTCAGCATCATATATACATTAATTGTAAAATTTCTCTTAGTCTCTTGCAATTGTATTGTTACAGTCAATTAAGAGACTGTAACAGGGACCCCAGAGGGTCTTTGCTTATCCTCATAGATCACAGTGGTGATGGCATTGCCCGGGAGCTGCTGGTACCAGTGCACATAACTGCTGTCAATGCTGCCACTTCTGTGGGTGCAGGAGATGGTGACCGTCTGCCCCGGAGACCCCGACACAGAATGGGCCTGAGTGAACACAACCTCAGCCCAAGACTCTGCAAGAAGGGAGCAACACAGAGATCAGTGAGCACAGATCAGAGTTGGTTCCCAGGGAGAAGGCAGAGGCCATCATCCCAGGTGACATCCAGGAGCCCTCCCTGGATTCCTTGCAGACAGCCACCTGTGCAGTGAGCAAGGAGGTTGAGGAAGAGTGGAGCCCAGGCCATGGTGAAGTCTCTCTAGGTTCTGCTTCCTGAGCCGAGCCACAGGTTAGACTGAGTCACCAAACCTTATTTTCTCTAATGCTCAAGGTGGGAAATCCCCATGCAAATCTTCCCCATTTTAGAGGTGGTACAAGCCCCAACTTCGACCTCAGTCTGATCTTCAGCTGGGAAAAAGAAGACTGTAGGAAGGGGGAGACCCAGAGAGGCACAGAAACACCTGCCAGATCCAGGGGGAAAGGGGCTCACAGCTGCAGAGCTGAGGAGCGTGTGGAGCAGGTGCCTAGGCCACAGCGCCATTTGGTGGATGCAGGAGACACGTGGACCCTGGGCTGGGGCCAGGGCTCAGAACTCACGCCCTTCCCCACTGCTCCCCTCGCAATTCCAGCCTTTTCAGATTGGTTTTCTTCACTTAGCAATGTGCGTATAGTCTTCCTCCATGTTTTCTTGTGGCCTTGTAACACCTTTTACTTGCAGAATAGCATCTCAATTGTGTGCATTAACAGGACTTATGTAACCCATTCACCTATTTAAGGACACATTAATTCTTTTCATGTTGTGGCAATTGTGTTCCAAGCAGCTGTAAACATTTCTGTGCAAGTTCTTCTGTGATACAAGTATCTTACTCAGGTAAATATCTAAAAATGTTGTTTCTGAATTGCATGCTAAGAATTTGTTTAACTTTGTCGGAAACTTCTAACCTGTTTTCAAAAGTGGCCATAGCGTTTTTCACTTCTCACAGCAGTGCGTGGAGTCCTGTTGCTCCACTGTTGTCAGTATATTGAATTTTAGGCTTTCTAATAGGAGTCTATTGTTGTCTGGTGTTTTAATTTGTAGTACCCCAGGTGTATAATTCGTATTTTTATAATATTTATAAATAAGTCTATAACATAAATACAAATAAGACATGTATAAATCATTCATATATAATGTATGTCAATATGTGTATTATATATAATAATAATATAAATCAAATAAATTCCCCCAGAGATAAAAAATACATTTTTATGCTTCTTTAAACATCTAATTACTTTTAGGCAGTCTGGATTATTTTAATATTATCTTGCAGATTTCTGATTTATGGTCTTTTTTTTTTTTTTGAGACGGAGTCTCTGTTGCCAGGCTGGAGCACAGTGGCACAGTCTCAGCTCACTGCAACCTCTGCTTCCCGGGTTCAAGCAATTCTTCCACCTCAGCCTCCCAAATAGCTGGGACTACAGGTGCATGCCAAACGCCTGGCTAATTTTTGTATTTTTAGTAGAGACGGGGTTTCACCATGTTGGCCAGGATGGTCTCCATCTCTTGACCTCGTGATCCCCCTGCCTCGGCCTCCCAAAGTGCTGGGATTACAGGCGTGAGCCACTGCTCCTGGCCTGCTTTTTCTTTTAATGATACTGTGATTTGTCCTGTACAGTTGTGTGCCTTTCAGCTTGATCCTTTAGAGGGTTACTTTTCATTATTTCCAACAGTTGTTCTAAAGGAGCCTACATGCCATGTCTCGTTTAGCCTTCCTGCCCACTCAGCTGCTGGATTCAACAGGTCTTTTCCACTCTGGTGGGTGAAAACTCAGGTGTCTCTGTTTCATTTGAGCTCTAGTCATTTATTGGTTTACTGTTCACCAATGGAAGTTAATTCTTTGATAGCAGTTTTTTACTTACTTTATGAGTTTTAATTATATTTATATTTCTTAAGATGCATCCAGAAGCAAGCAGACCCTATGCACACATGTTGGGTATTTCCTTTTGCTAACTCCCTCTTTTCTAATTCCGCTACTGATATGCCAACCATTTCGGTTGTAAGATTTGAAATCAGTGCAGTGAGATCAGCCTATTCTTACCACTTGAGATGTAGTCTGGGAATTGCTTCAGACCTCGTTCTCACTCTATCTCCAGGATCACAGTCACGAGCTGGCTAATTTCTGGCATCGTACAGAGTTGTATTTTATCATTGTATTCTTTTTCTCATAGCTTGTGGTAAGAAGAATTCTACTTCCTCATACTTTATTATTATTACCAGCTATAGTCACAGTCTGCTTTTCAGAGGTTTTCTTTTTCCCCTTAAATTGTAAACTTCAAAGTCTATCCAAGCCCCAAATTTCACAGTTTTGAAAAAAAACTCGAGATAAAATCGAGTTCTTTACTTGATTGCCCTGACTAATCTAATCCACCACCCATCTGACTGAAACAGTGTCGCTGTGCTGGTACCGAGTTTGGTACAGAAACCTCCCAAGTGAATAAGCATCTGCAGAGGTGAGCACAATTCCCAAAAATTCTTCCCTATGAGTTTCCTTATCCCAGTCATTTTTTACTTACTCAAGGAGATTTCTGATGTCACAAAAAAACATGATTTTGCAATTTTAAGTATAATTTCCAAATTTTAGTTTGAATTGTGTCACCTATATTATCATTCTAAGCAAATAAAGCATTGTACCATCCAGAAGTAGATTTTCTGGGATATCATTTTGGAAGACCTGTTTCAGCCATTGGTAAAAATATGATCTGTTTTCTGGTCTCTTGTCTCTGGAACAAGATATATAGAGATTGCAAAGTCTATCCTATTACTATTGACATCCTCGGGCTGAGAAGCAAAGTTGGAACTTTTAAAATGAAGAATCACTTCTGTGTCCAATCCACCTGCATTCCTCAGTCCGTGAAAAATGACTGAGGTGCAGGGAAGTTTTGCCCTCCCAGTCAGGACACTAGCATCAAGAGGCCACATAGACGAGTGTGGCAAAGTGGTGACCATCTTTATGGGGTGCTTCATGCTCCACTTTGGATTTAGTCCTCAGAAAAGTCACTTCCGTGATGGCAAATGAGCTCAGTGTTTCCATAAATGTATCCTTGGCAGGAATTGCCTGATGACTGGCTTTGGAGTTAAAGGGCCAGGATGCTCCAGTCATAAAAAAGTAGACTAAAAGGGCTGTATTTTTCAACTGTCTTTTTGAATTCAGAGCTCAAAACAACTTTCACAGTGGAAACGAGGATTGAAGAGATCAGCTCTGTTGTTTAATTCATGTTCTCAAGTACTTCAAAGGGTCTGGACTTGTGAGATATTCAACATATTCCCCTCATCAGTTTGGCAGTGACAATTTCAACAAATAAAGCTTCCACCAACATAAAGGGGTGCCTCCTGCCCCCTAGAATGTCTCAGGTGGTTCATGCTACTAAAAGCTCATATTCAAGAGAAGACATTTTCTTCACTAGGTATCACCAACAAATGCAAACACAACAAAGTTACATGGTCTTGACATGAATTAGGCTTTATTGAGGGAAAATTACGAGAATGGCTCAGCAAGATCCACAGCTTCTCCACCCTCTCATGAGCTTCACAAGGAGCAAAGTGACGGGGACTGGGGGCAGTGAGACGAATATGGATTAAGGGCCATCCCCTGGAACTGGTCTGAAAAACAACTGGCTTGGTGCATGCTGGGTCCAAGCGTTCACACTGCATGCCCTGCGTGTCTACCTGCCTGGCCCTCATTGACAACCCTTCACATCAAGGCCTCATTTAACTTCCATGATTGAAACACTCCACTCATGTTGTCACTCACGTATGCTGGGCATTGTGTTTGTCCACATGACTCCACTTGGAGAGGATGCTTGGAAGCGTGCACCTGATTTCTCCTGGACTCCTCGTCATGTGCCTTTCTTTTTGTTGATGTTTAACATGCGTGATCACATTATAATAAATCAGTAAACCACAACTAGCAGAACAGCTTTTATGAGTTCTGTGAGTTCTTATGTTTGTCATGGAGACTGTGAGTGGTCTTCAAAACCCAGCACACCACAGTACAGGTCCTGTTTGCTCAAACTAGTTGTGTTTCTTTTCTGTTGCTTCTGTAACTAATAGGGTGCCCTGAAACAACAGAAATGTATTTTCTACAGGTCTATAGGTCAGAAGTTTAATACAAAACTCAGTGGGGAAAACCCAATGTGTCAGCAGGGCTGTGTTTATCTCTGCAGTTCCTAGGCGAAACTTCTGTCTTTTCCAGAATAAAATAGACGAACACAACACAATATTCTGAAATATCACACAGGTCATATAAGTAACCATAGGTGAAAGAAGCGCCTTGATATATTACAAAAAAAAAAAAAAATTGAAATTCAGCTGCATGCGGTGGCTCACGCTTATAATCCCAGCCCTTTGGGAGGGTAAGACAGGTGGATCATGAGGTCAGGAGATGGAGACCGTCCTGGCCAACATGGTGAAACCCCATCTCTGCTAAAAACACAAAAATTAACTGGGCATGGTGGTGCATGCCTGTAATCCCAGCTACTCAGGCGGCTGAAGCAGGAGAATCGCTTAAATCAGGTAGTTGGATGTTGCAGTGAGCCGAGATCACGCCACTGTACTTCTGACTGGTGACAGAGTGAGACTCCGTCTCAAAAGAAAAAAAAATAAAATGCTAAATTTATATACTGCAACTAAAGCATTGTGGGTTTTTTTGTTTGTTTGTTTTTGTAGAGATGGGGATCTCCTTATGTTGTCTAGGCTGATCTTGAAGTCCTGGCCTCCAGCTACCATCCTACCAGGGCCTCCCACCACATTAGGATTGAGATTACAGACATAAGCCACCATGCCCAAAAAAAGCAATTTTCTCCCATTATGTAGGTGGTCTGTTTACTCTGTTGTTATTTTGCTGTGCAGAAGCTCTTATATTCAACTAGGTCCCATTTGTCAATTTTTACTTTTTGTTGTATTTATTTTTGGTGTCTTTGTCATGAAATCTTTGCCTGTTTCTATGTCCACGATGGTATTGCTTAGGTTGTCTTTCACAGTTTTTATGGTATTGAGTTTTACATTTCAGTTTTTAATCTAGAGTTGATTTATGTATATGGTGTAAGGAAGGGATTCAGTTTCAATCTTCTGCCTATGGCTACCCACTTATCCTAGCACTGTTTATTGAATAGGGAGTCTTTTCCCCATTGCTTGTTTTTGTTAGCTTTGTAGAAGATCAGATAGTTGTAGATGTGTGGCCTTATTTCTGGGTTGTCTCTTCTGTTTCACTGGTCTATGTGCCTAGTTTTGTACCAGTACCATGCTGTTTTGGTTACTGTAGCCTTGTGGTATAGTTATGGATACCTATACCTCACTTGGGTAACATGATGCCTCTAGCTTTGTTCTTTTTGCTTAGGTTTGACTTGACTGTTCAGGCTCTTTTTTGGTTCCACATAAATTTTAAAAGTTTTTTTTTTCTAGTTCTGTAAAGAACATCACTGATAGTTTAAAACAAATTGCATTTAATCTGTAAATTTCTTTGGGCAGTATGACCATTTAAAAAATATTGAATCTTTTTATCC